ATTTTCCTGAGTAATTTGATCACCTTCAGCTGTTTTTAAAAAAAATAGCTCAATTGGGAAATCTGGCAACATTTTTTAAGAATTGTCACATAACATAAAATCGGCAAAGAAGCTCCAGAATAGCCAGCAAATCCAAAAGTGAGACTAGTAAATTCTAAAACGATAGAAGCAAAAATTTAGGGTTGTCTAAAGTGGAAGTGAAATAGGGTTTGGTGGAGTCGAAGAGGAAAATCTTTGCAGAGGATTGTGACTCAACATGACTTAACAAAATATTGTTGATTGCTTCTCTGTACGCTCATCCCAACTTATTTGATGGTTGTAAATATGTTAGTGTTGCTGTTGGTATTAGGGAGGCCGGTCTCTCAACTGAAATGATGTAGACGATGTAATGCATTTCTTTGAAGCTGATGGTAACCCTTTAGTGGCAAAGACACCTCATATGTATTTGCTTTGCACTGGAATTGCACTGAGCTTTCCACATTAACAAGCTGGCGTTTTCCTCATGAGTGGTCATGGCATATTGCTTAAGGGAAAACTGAGGAAGGCCAGTAGTACAAAAATGTTCTTTATTTTTCTATTGGAATTTGAGTAATTCCAAATATGTACATGACTATTATAAAGTTTAGAGTAGACTCAGATGGTTAATTCTGCAAATTGGATGATTTCTGACTGTCCATAATGAAATAAGAGGATTACTTTGGTCTGTGCAAATATGGGTGAGATTGACAAGCTGCAGTGATTGCAAATTAACCATTTCACGTTGGTTTCAGAGGGGAGGTAACTAAGGATGTCAGCAGCCCTGGCATAAGTCATTAAAGGAAGAAAAAAATGTAAATTGCCATTTTGAATCAATAGCTGTTTTGAAAAATATGCCAAGTGGTGTATGCCACAGGCCCTCTTTCGATATGCTGCTCGTCTCTGGGAGAACAGCGTGAGCTGCCCTGGAGAGGGTTGCTTGTAGAGCCCCAAACAGGGTCTACTTGGCGCTTCTAAAGAAAGTTTTAGAAGTAGAGCAGTGTCGTGTCCTTCATTTATTAAAATCAGCTAGTTAGGCTCCACCATACTCATTTTACAGTCCATGTTCTGGGCAGCCGAGTATTTTATTTTGTCCTGTTCTTCTAAACAGAAGCATTGAATGGTTTTACTAAGCATACACGTAACTTTGAGGCCATGTGTGATACCAAAATGTGCCTCATTGAGGGGAAAGGAGAGGCAGGGCCAGACTCTTCTTTGTGTCTGAGTTTGGAGGAGGGAAATGGAACTTGTAGTGTGATTCCTATCAGCATCTAACCCTTTAAGCTATACAAATGGAATGTTCAACTTAATAGAATTCTGAAAGTAAAACAAATGCTTTGTTCTTAGTGAATCCACCATTCAGAACTGCTCTTGGCAGCACATCAACCGTATTTGAAATGTCTTTAAGTGGGTATTTTTTACTGTGCTTTTCATCCTAACACATCTTTTGAGCTGTTGGAATTTTGAACAGAGAAACACAAAGACCAAACTCCTCTCAGAGGGAGGTGTCCGTGTTGCTATAATGTCTCCGTTTGCTGACTTGGCAGTATGGAACTTACCTTAATAAATATTTGGCCATACTGCAATTGGGTTTAGAGGCTGAAATGTAACAGAACAAAGTAAAATGAGTTTGGGGTAGAAAGGGCAGAAATACAGAGCAGCAGAAAGAGGCAGTTAAAATGAAGTGTATCACGATCGCTTCCAAAGTGAAACTATTGTTCTGGGGAAATCAGGTGCCAGAAAGTGCCAAAGAGTGCAGAAGTTAAGAAATAATAATTACTATTTATTCAGCATTTACTGTGTTGTAGGTACTGTGCTATGAGTTTTTCATATACTATTTCATTTAAACTTCACAACAACTCTATGAATTACAAAGAAGAAATTGAGGCTTAAATGGGTTGCTGCACGATTAGAGGCAGAGGTTGGCTAAAACCCTGAGCTACCCAACTTCATGTCTACTGCTGAATTTTGGTGGATTCTTTTTGTATTTGTTGGTATGCACTGAAACAGTGATTTTTTAAAATTATCAAGAGTATTTTTATAACTTTTTATATTTATTAGAGTTTTCACGCGAATACCTAGAACTTTAAATCATTATTGATTTTAAAATTTTATTTATGGCTACTTAATTTGGAGTATTTCTGTCACTGGAAATTAGGCAGAAATTTTGGGAAGTCTTTTTTAGTTATTGAGATGCATACCTTGGGGGCCTGAAAATGCTCAAGAGAAAAGTGAATCTTTTTACTCTCTCCTTATAGCCATGGAATCCTTGTGCTGATATGTCACATTAAGAATGGTTTTGCAAAGTTATTTGGCCACATTTTAAGGGCTGCGTGATTTTCTAGGTCCTGCCAGGCAGGGACTGAATGGCTGCTCTGCTATCCAGTGGACAGAAGTGCGTTTGACACAGGAGGAGCCCAAGAGTGGCTGCTCTACCCCCCGTCAGAGCACGTGATCTAAGGGCAGGTAGTTGGGGGACCCACAGCTTTCCAGGCTGTTTTCCCACAGAGAAAGGCTATTGGATTGCAGTTAGTAGTAGTCATAGGGGGAAAAGCCCTTTTTTAGTTGCATCCTTGTCATCTTCCTCCTGTTCCGTGTTTTTGAAATACTGGCAAATGGCCATTGGAATACAGAAAAAATATCATGTGACTCTTGTCCACTAGGAACTTAGAATCCACTTGGAAAGACAAGACAGAATCATTTGAAAAGTATAGATTAGGGAGGGAAAAAGATAGTTTCTGATCCCCTCTCCACTTCCCTCAGTTACTGGCCCTGGTGCCTTCTTCCTAAAGGCAGGGACTTTGTCCTTGAGTTCATTGATGTCTCCCCAACTCTGGCACAGAGAAGACTCTCAGTAAATATTTATTGAATGGCTGAATAAATGGTGTTAGCAGTCAGGAAGGGCTTCATAGGGGGAGTATGATGTAAGATGGTTCTTTATAAAAGGAGTTTCATGGGTGTGTGTTGGGGGAGAGAGTCACAGAAGCACCAGGTCAGTTTGGAGAGAACGATTTTAGATGAAGTGAGGGGTTGATGAAGGATAATTTTGTGTTATTGTCAGAAAAATAGGTCAGAGCCACATTTTGGAGGCCTTGAATTTCTGACAGAGGAGTGCTCAGAGTCTGTCTTGTTTGTTGTTCTTAGAAGTAGTTGATTAGAACAGTGAAGCAGATCCATGATGTAATCAGACTTCACAGCCTGAAAAGCAAATTGCATGGCCACCGTCTAAAATTTTTAGCTCACATAGGAGATTTTGCTTTTTAATACTTGCACTTAATGAATGGATTATTTGATATGAAGCCTTTGTGATTTGCTGACGTATATCACTCCTTAGTTTATGACAGTGATATTATTGGAGCTCTTAGGTGTTTTGTATTCCTCGTCACTTGAGAGACTCTTTGTCTGAATCATACTTTTGCTTTTGCCTAATCTCATTACAGAAGGACCAATAGGGAAAACAAAAAGAAGATAAATGAATATTTGTGATTCATGGAAATGTGCCAGTCTCTTTTACATATATATTTTTATTAATTTTATGTAACTGCCTTAATGCAAAGAGTATTAAAAATACATGTAAAATTTTTTAAAAAGTGAACTCATTAGAGAAAAGGGAAAATAAGATAAGGAAATAAAGAAAGCCTGTGGAATGTGTGGCAGAAAATGTCTGCCATGAAGACTTTGTACGTTTGCTAGATGTGATTACACATTGGACTCAGGGCTTGGGGCTTTTTGACTTCCGGTGCAAAGAGGGAAACATGATGGGTTATATGACTCACAGTGTCCATGAGATAAAAGGAAATCAATTACCCAGGAGCAGCCTAGCTAGTTCTGGAACATGAGAGAAAATTCTCCCGTGAGTCCCCATAAAGAAGATTCTCTGAAACATTTCATTTTGCCTGTCAGTGGGAAGAGTTGATATCCTCTTATGAAAACTGAGGAGTTAGACAAGATCCACTGTTACCTGAAGTAGAGTAACAGGTTTTACCTGTGAGCAGGGCCGAGGCTGTCATCTTCAGCCCCTCAAGAATGCACTCTCTAAAATAAACTCTTTATCCCCTTCATATCACAGTCTGCAATTATTAAGCTTGTTTGTTTATTATCTCTTCTCCCAAATAGACTGCAGTCTTCATAAGGGCAAGGACAATAGCTGTCTTATTTATCCTTATATCTCTACATTGCACAAAGTCTGGTATTAGAAGCTCAATAAATATCTAATGAAAGAATTTAGAAATGGAAAGAACTGGTAGCAAAATGTACCATAAGGTAACTGAATTAGTTAGCCTGTTGAACCAAACCAGTTACCCTTGAGTTGACTACAATTAATAGCAAACCACTGCATGTCAGAGTAGAACTGTATGCCATAGGGTTTTCAATAGAGGGAAGTAGATTGCCAGGCCTTTCTTCCTAGGTACCTCTGGGTAGACTCAAACCTCCAACTTTTTGGTTAGCAGCATAGCAGGTTAATTATTTGCACAACTCAGGGACTCTTAACTACCTACAAGCCTGGTTATACCAGTTAACTAGGTATAACAATATTTGGAATATTTACCAAAATGACTGATCTTGGAACAGTTAATAGAAGACATTCTTTCTGTCAATAATCAGATAGCATGCCTGTTGAGTTCACTCCACTTCAGGAAAGCTGTAGACTAGGTTTCATAACCCATAGCTTACCAATGACAGTATACAATCTTAGAGAAGTTGAATTATGGATTTAATTTCTACTTAGAAAATTAATGAAAAAATACATTTTTAATCAGGACATTTTCATGAGCATGTCATGTAATTTGGCTGTGGTATATGTGGCAGCTACATTCACATGGTAGGCTTTTCTAGAATTATCAGAGTGTTTGAGGAAACCAGCTTAATGGCCAACTTTTGCTTGCTTCTTCTTCAAATAAAAATAACTGTCATTCCTAATGAGAGAATGCATGAATCCATTTTCTGTGGTGACTGATTAAGGATTTTGTCCTCCCATCTTGCAGAGACACAGAATACAAAGGCCTGCAGCTCTCCCTGGATCAGATCTCAGCCTCCAAACCAGCCTTCTCCTATGCCAGCAGCTCTACCCCCACCATGACTGACAACAGGAAGGGGGCCAAGTCCCGGCTCTCCAGCTCAAAGTCAAAATCCAGGACTTCCCCATACCCTCAGGTGAGTGAATGCTGTTTTTGCAGCTTTCTCTTTTTGTGGCCTGGTTTAGTCTTACAGTCGAGGAAGTATTAAAACTGTTTGGAGTTAATTATCTGGTTTTGATAAATTTCAAGCTTCTACAAATCTATCAAGTTTTCCAAACTATATTCTTCCTCCTCCTCCTCCTTTAAAATAACTATGCTAGTAATAGACATTTTTATGTTGTTTGTTAGCTGAGAAAAGTTTGAAGCAATTTTGTGCTTTACTGCATTTATATAAAGGCCGTGAGAGCCTCAGTTGCAGTCAGAACCATAATATATCTGCTATTTCAAAGAGATTGATCCTAAATTCCCCCCCGCCCCCGCCATAATGATTAACCAGAAGGAAGTAGCCAGCATAACAAAATATGGAAAACAAAAGCTTGATGTAGATAAGTTGAATCTTAAAACAGCAGCTGAAGAAGAAAGAAAGAAAGAGGTGGAGGCAAAGGATCAAGGATGCATTTCACTATGAGATCTGAGCACAGATGGACTGTTTATGAGGAGGAATGAAATAGAGAGGATCTTCCAGATGGCAGGAATGGTAGGAAAAGCAACTCTCTTCTCATCTTTGCAAGGTGGTGAGATGACGAGACCCAGAGGAGGTATTCCAGAAACATTGAAAGGTACAAATAGGATCCTGATCCCTAGAAGGGAAAAAATATTGTTTTTTAAATCTAGTTTGATGTATAGAAACTAGACTGTGTCAAGATTTGTGCACAACTCTCTCCTGGCCTGAAGGACATATGACAAAATTGGGAATTATGCACTTGCAATATCCTTTGCCCCCCTCACCTCCATCCTTTTCTTTTGTGACTACCATACCAAACTCCCTGCAGTTCACTAGAGTAACTCCAGGAGATGATTCTTGTGCTCATATAAAACCAAACTGGGTTCTGAGTCATTTCATCAGGGTAGTCTTTATTCTTTACATTTTAAATACATTTACAATAGCAAAAATGGCAAGCAGGTGGGTACAGGATCGATTTCCTTACTTATCAGAGCTATGTTATATATATTATGTCAATATCTACAAGTGTATATTATTTGAGGGAATGTCATTCATTGAAAAACTGGTTGCTAAGAAGCTGTTTGCTAGATTTTTTTAGGGGCTTGGTAGGCACAGATGAGAAGACCAGGTACCTGCCCCAACGAGATTTATGACATATGATTTGAAATTTTCCACAGAAGAACAGATTTCATTACTCTGACAAAAGAGAGGAGAGCAGATGTGTGATGCCTAGACATTTTTCAGTGTACACCTTCCATTATGAGGATGGAGCATTTTATTTATAAAGTGTATTTTAATCAAAATCATTGTGGAGTGGTTGCCTGTTTTTCTTGAACATCTAATGAGAAGCTTCTTTTTTTCTTTTTAAATTACTATTTTATGCCTTGGGGCAAAGAGTTTTTACTGTCTCATTTTTACTACTTGAAAGGGTAGATTATGCCTTTGGGTAATTCTGTCCTTAAATATATAGAAGTGTTAGGCATATAGATGAAGGAATAATTTAAATTATGAAATACTAACTTAAGGAGGGATTTGTCCATTGTTATATGGAAATTAAGCCACAATATTGAGAACAAAAGCAAAACCTTCCCATTGGGCCTGCAGAATGTCACTGTCTGGTTCATGTTTTCTTTCATGCTCAAGTCATGACATCTAAAATTTCTATTACCTCACTCTAACAGTAGACTGAGTACTCATTTGAAAAAAAATTGTAACTGCCATTAGACTACTCCTTGTGTATGTATGTGTGTATTGAATTTTTAAGTTACACATGTTGCATAGTTTAAAAAAAAAAAAAAAGCAATACAGAAAGGTGGGAAATAGAAAATACTCCTCTATCCCCTTATTCTCGCTCTCAAGAATTGTGCTTTTTCCTAGAAATGTTCTATGATGTGTAAAACCATGCACATGCACACATGCATGTCAATACAGGATTTCTCTTGAAATTTGTGTCTTTATTTTTGTGGTTAATACTTATATAAATGCAGTTTTTAGAATTTTGGCCGTATGTCTCATTTGAAATTACACAGTCATGAATTAAGTTTACTTAACATTTATTATGTGCCTAATAAAAGTTTTCCTTTAATTGTATTTACTTTAGTTAATCATGGTGCTAGGCCATTCCATTGACTGAGTTCCTACTACCTGCCCTGCTAATACGTACAGATAAGAAATGGAACACATTCTCTTTGCTTTTTTTGAGGAGCCACTGGTATAGACAGACAAATGAATGGACATTTGAAGTGAATTGTCGTGGGATAAACAGAGGGTGCTTTGGGGACACAAAGGAAAAGCATGACATCCAGGACAACCCCATCACTGTGTCTGCGGGAAGAAAGCAACTTAGTACCATCATCTTGAATGCTCAAGCCTCAGGAATTTTGTAGAAAAAAAATAATTTAATATCTCAAAAGTCTTATTTGGTCCAAATTACCCTTATATTATTAAGAGATAATTAGCCTTTACATTTCATGCACCTTTTGCTATTGTGTGTTTTTGACTTAGCAGATGTTGGCTGAGCATCTGAATTGGAAAAATGCTATTCTGGCCTTAGTTGTAGTTGGTAGAGTGGAGGTTAGGTAAAAAGTGCTAAAATATACAGAAATGGAGTAAGAAATGTCCTTACGTTTTGGTAGTGCGGTTGGAGTGCAAAGCTATATACTAGTCATATATAAGAATAATTAGTGTATGTTGTTGTTAGTTGCTGTTAAGACAGCTCCGACTCACGATCCATGGGGTTTTCATTGGCTAGTTTTTGGGAATAGATCTCCAGGCTTTTCTTCCTCGTATGTCTTAGTCTAAAAGCTCTGCTGAAACCTTTCCACCATGGGTGACCCTGCTGGTGTTTGAAATACTGGTGGCATAGCTTCCAGCATCATAGCAACACACAAGCCACCACAGTATGACAAACGGACCAACGAGTGGTGGAACTAGGATATAAGCAAAACCAAACCTGTTGCCGTAAAGTTGATTCCAACTCCTAGTGGCCCTATAGGACAGAGTAGAATTGCCCCATAGGGTTTCTAAGGAGTGGCTGGTGGATTCAAACTGCCGCCCTTTTTTAGTCACCAGCTGAGCTCTTAACCACTGTGCCACCAGGGCTACAGGAATTAGCGTATAGGAGATGATATATACTAAGAGCTTTACGGGTGGTATCAAGGACAAGCACTTTGCCCTGGCTGGCTAGAGAAGGTGTTGTGGGTGACCTGGCTTAAGGGTGGGATTCAGGTATGTGGGAAGCAGGGAAAGGAAAGGATGTTTCAGGAAGACCTAAATTATGAGGAAAGGCAGGAATGCATTGTTAATGTGGTTAGGCCTGGTGGTGAGTAGGGGGAAGAGGATTGGTTTCTCTAGATGAGAACTAGGGGTGAAATTTTTGGAAACAAATTGTTCAAGGAGTTTAGGTTTTGTTTTGTGAAGAACTGGTAAAGGTTTTTGAACAGGTAATGAGAGAATGAATGTGTTTGAAGTGAGCAAAACTATTTAGGAGACTAATTTTAATAGTCCTGGTGTAAGTTTTGAGAGAAAGATGTGGCAGACTGCTTCTGTGAAGATTTATAGCCTTGGAAACCCTATGGGGCAGTTCTACTCTGCCTGATAGGGTCACTATGAGTCAGAGTCAACCTCACGGCAGTGGGTTTTGGGTATGAGTTTATAAAGGTCTAAACTAAAGTTCTTTACTTAAAGGACACTGCAGAGGAAGAATGGATACTTTTTTTTTTAAGTCGTTGGATACCTAGCACCCCTTAGCATTATGGATATGTGTTATATTTTAGAATTATATTTTTAATGCTTTCTTTCCATAGTTAATTACATACTTGTACTGAATTTCCCTTTCTGCATTACATACGTGCATAATAAGTGCCTTTTTAGTGACTAACTGATCAAGCTTTTAATTTTATTTAAATACTTTTTAAATACAGCTAAATACTTCTGTAAAGAGAACAATTTTTTTTTTGCTGTTTCCACATCCACATATTTTTAATATGCAAATTATCATCTGATCTTTCAAGAGGCAGTTTTCCGAGCAAAATTGAGCTCATACAGTAATGCCTTATGCCTCTTATTAGTTATGTAAATAGTGATTTGATGATTCTATCGATATTATTTATTAGACTCTTTGTTATGACTGTTATTTATTAGGCATATCTAGAAATTTCTAACAGATGTCTGACCAATGGCAAACAGAAACACTGCTTTTTGGAATTATGTAGACATCCTTATTTGAACATGCAAGCTATGCACACATTGTAATTTGATGCCACCACCCAGTTTGTCTGCAGTAGTAGATGAACCTTCAGGTCCCCTCCGGTATAAAATGCCCTTGGGAATGATTTTAGACTTGATTATATTATGGTCACTTAATGAATGACTCAATCACCTTTGTACCTCTGTGTATTACTCGGGACAAGAAAGGTCAAAATAGAATTCTCTTGTTTTGAATGGTTTTGGAAATATTGTAAGAAATGTTGTAGTTAATTTTCAAAGATTCTGCGCATATCTACTGTGTTGCTGTACAGCAGCAATCTTATAACAGTTGTATTTTCCTATTGGATTTATACTCATGAAAATAGCACAATATTTTTCATAGTTCTGTTGAATTAGAAATACTGAGTTTATAGAATTTACTTTTCAGACCTTATCTGCTAGAGATTGCACCAGTGTTTCTCACTTATTTTTGTGGAACTAGTCATGACTGATTTAATTCCAGTTGGAAGTTATTTTACTGTGCCTCAGTAATGTCAATCATGAATAAATTGCCTCCTGATTCCAGAGTTTCCTTTTAGACATCTCAGGTTGGTATGTTTATAGTGGTTACGTTTATTACAGATAGTTTGTGCCATCCTGTTTTATTGCATCATTCTGTCCTCTTGTTTGTTCCCTAGTCAGTAATAACCAATATACTGTATACTTCCAAAATACCAGTGCCTGCATAAGATGGTGTATGCTTCTGAAATCTGAAAGTATTTAAT